GTCTGGCTTTCGAGAGGAGTAGGTCGGATGGACTCGATGTTCCGTCAGATGTAGCTCGAAGTCACGGCCATATGGTGCCGACTTCTTAGTTTTCGTTGTCGCTGTGGTCGGGTTGGCCGAGGTTGGATTCGTGGACTTGGTCCTCCGACTTCGTGAAGATCGGCTCGCACTCATGGCRACGGGATGTGGACGATCGGTTGGCGGGTGGGGATACTAGACGCACTTGTCAGAAAGACAATCCGTAAGCTGCACTCGTATCAGCTTACTCCTCGAAGATCACGCAAATCTGGACCACCGTCTTCCGCAAACTGGGCTAGGTCTCGAGGGCATATGCTACCAGAGAAAGTTCTGGCGCCGGGGCGGGTCGGCGATGAGGACCGAGAGCGGCAGGAGCGATTCCTTCTGTCCAGCTCTTCCAAGGCTAGATGTGTAAGGCTTATCTTGGACAATCCGTCATAAAACTCAGGGGGATAATTCCAGGACTCCCGRGCTTTACGTGTGATTTTGCTTCTTGTCTTTGCCTTCTTCGTGGGAGGGTCAGCGTCGGCTCGCGAGGGCTCGTCAGCGCGCTGTCGCTTTTGGTTCTGCCGTCTTGCCATGTGTGGCCCATTGTCCGAGGTCGTGTCAACAAGAGGGGGAGTTGCGCGGATATGTAGGCCGCTGTGAAGGTCGTCGCGTCGTGTCGGTTGTTGATGTCTGAGTTGGCGCTGCAGAAAGCAATGTGATGGTTGAAAAGGTGGAGACCGCGGGCTGATTGGCGAGGAGTGCTCAGTTCCCCGTGCGGGTCGGCAAGTCTTTCCTCCGGCACGCTGTCAGCACACCACGGGCCGCCCCATCTAGAACCGAGCATTTTGGTCCAATCAAACGTCCTAGGGGACCCGAGTTGTAAAGCTTAAATCACAACTGCATCTACTGCACCCACCATAAACAAAAAACAAAAAATAGTCTGCCTCTTCGTCTCATTATGTCCCTGAAAGTCCTTCTCAACTTGAGACTTCGCCACGACGCGTACCCAGGTTAATGGTCGCAGCAACAGATGCGGCTTGTGGTTGGTTTATTGCAGACATGGGGATGCTTGTGAATGTCGACTGCTAAGCAATGCAAAAGAGTAAGCTCGTGTTGGTTTTAGGACTGGTTAAATGTAACGCTGCGTGTCGATCTGCTCCACGCGTTGCAAGCGATGATCCTTGACGGAATAAACCTACCTAACATATATCAGTGGTCGAAGAGGCCTAAAACTATTGCCCGGAGGTCGTCCCATTTCAGCTGTGTAGGACTGTGTCTACTTTTGGCATGTATCGTGATCCAACCACCTGCTGTTGCCGTTTAGTACATGACGAGAAATCAAGGCTTTTACAAAACGAAATACCACGCGTACCATAGGGGAGGGGCGCCGCTCATGGGTGTCACTTGGAGCTAGGCGTGCCGATAGTATGCGTCATTAAACTTATGTTATGGTAGGCTGCGTGCTGAGTTCAAACCGAGATCATCCCCAATCTCTTCATGATTGCTGATGCCCTCATCCTTTCTGAGGCCTCATGTAAATCGTCACCTGCCTTTCCTCATCAACTCGTTCCTTCCACAATTCCCATTTGCACTGCATGAAAGCTTACTCGAAACTCAGACTGCGACAGTACGTGTACTTGCTTTTGCTGAGAAAAAAAACTGATGCTTTAGGACAGATGTCCAATCGTGAAAAGATGCTCCAGCAAGTGCGAGACAACCTGAAGCAGGACAGAGAGTTGAATCCGCCGGAAACCCTGTGCCATGTTGTTAGAGACTCATTTCAATCTCTGCTCAAATTCCTTTGGAATCTCTGGAAGAAGGAAAGGCGGCGCAAAGGGGTCAAGCGCCAGAGACAGGAGCAGTCACGGAGCGAGGCTCGAGGCATCACGGATGAACTGGCTGTATTTACTATTCTTTAGCACAGAGGTTTGTGAAATTACTAGCGAATAAGATTGATTGCTCCTGTTGAGTCGACTTTCCAGCCATCAAGCTGTCCTTCTCCCTCAAAAACGGAAAACGGAAGCTGATACTAATCGTGAGCTACTGGAGCTAAATCACAGCCTCACATTTGAACCCGTTTACTTTCTCCAGACATATTCGTCACAACTGYCTCTTTCTAATAACTCATCTCTACCTCGAAAACAAATCGGTAGAAGAAGTGAGCGCTACGGTAAYGATCCGGTCTCGCGGATCCATTGTTCGGCCGAACTGTGACCTGCTTTACCTGATCTTCCCTTCACAAGTTCATATATTGCTCAAGAGACAAGAACTGGATCGCAAGTAACTTGTCATAAAACAACCCAATGTAGAGAAGGAGCTCTCAGGCTTGTTTAGAGTCAATGTTCAGCTAGATCTGTGCTGTCAAGATCATCTCAGTCCTGTTCCTATTCATCATTTCTGATATCCTCGCTGTGAGTAAACATGTGGCTGGTATTGTCATGGTTGCAGCGATCGGGACGATTTTCGGCAGTAATCTGCTTTTAGAAACGCGCTTGAGAGACCGAACCGGGTCAAGCCAGCCAGCCAGCCTATTCACACGAGGAACCCCTATAGAGGTCAGCCGAATCGCTTGTACTACACCCAGTATTCAAGTCATCACGGTCACCTATTTCCAACCGCGTGGAACTAATTTCATCTAGATACTAGAAATGTCGTTTCTAGTTATCTTTACATGGTTACTAGATCGAGCCTAGATATGTCGAGTGGACCTACGATGCTTCGTTATATACAGTCAATAACCCAGATCCTTGTGCGATTGGGTGATCTTTGACACGCTGACGTGTCCTGTGAAGATCAGACGCGTCCTTATGATACGAAATCTGTTCGCGTCATTGGATGTGGCCATCACCAACGGGTGCTAACAAGCTATGATATCCGTGATTTCATGCCAATGCAACACCGCGTGGAGAGCCTCACCGAAAAGTGCCAAACACTGCCGCAATAGGATCTGATGTACAGGACTTGTTTCTGCCCAACGCCAATCAGATATGCATGACAATTGTTATTACTAAGACTGTGTGGCTCGACGAGCGAAAATATAGACATGAACTCACATCTAGAGAGCACGATCATTAGCTAACACATTTCATGTCTAATGATCTGTAATTCCTAGACAAAAGTTTGACTCAGCAGAAGTTGCTGGCGCATCACTAGACATCAGTGCCGTTGAAACATGTGTCAAAAAAGATTGTTATTATCGCTAGGCTTGACGTCCAAAAACCACACATTGCCAACAAGGCGACCTGAGTGTACTCGGCCAAATCCGACTCGGTCGCCTTCCTTTGCTGATGGTTGATGTAGTGCCCTTGAGTCTGTTGTTATGTCTCACCTTCGAGGAGTCTGTGCCATCTGACCCAATCGCTCTCAATGGTTGCTGCAGACCGAGGCAGCGAGGACAAGGGTATGATCCGACCTACGCGATGGTTGCCGGGGTCTGTTTGTAAACGAGGCTTGAGAGGCTTAAAGTCCTACTGAATTGCTGACGTAGATAACGCCCAGCCAGACTGAGTCAACCCGAGTCCTGTAGTGAGCCCAGATGGGTTCAAGCAAACACATATCTATAAGAAACAGCCTTTCCACAAACTTGAAAAGCTTTGAATCTACAATTTTTCATGCCATCTGGAGGCGCGACGCGAAGATGGCCCTAGTCTGTCTCAAAAGCGACTGGCTTTGCAGTACGTTGAACGCATACTCCGCATTCTCCTGCTTGACTTAGACAGAGCTAACTTAGGAGGAAGCTTCTCAATTAGTGCAGTTCGCGGACTGCAAACAAGGGGGCAAAGCAAAATACTACCTAGACCCTGAAGCTTTGGAAGGGGAATACCTAAAACCGGATACTCAGGTGGTCATCCTGTGTATCACTCTCGAGGAGATCAAATCCAGATGTGCAAACAGGGCAAATGTTACACTCCAGGTCAGGTCGCTCACAAACGCTACGTTGATTACGTCGGAGTAAAGCATTGGTTCATCCAAACTTTCAACGGAATATAAGACCACTAATCAATGGGATATCGTGATGTATCTACGACGCTCACGTATTGATACATAATCTATAGTAACTTTTGGCACCTATTTGCGTGTAATAGAATCCATCGTGCTTTGCGAGACGCGTGATACGCATACGCCATGATACAGTCTTCGATCGCACACCACGTCGCCGTTGTTGCTTCCGATCAAAGCGGGCAGAGCAATTGCAGCCCAGACCAGTGGCCATTTGTAATGCAGAAACATCCGAATGTAGACTATTTTCAAGACGGAGAGCGACGCGAGTATGGATTGGCTACCATGTAGCCTACGGGAACTTGTAAACATCCGGCTCCGTTGTATCTGACGTACTTTCATCGTGTTAAATGGCCGCTTCCTCGACAAGGAGACAATCGCGGGGGGAAAGGGGGGTGAGATCCGACCGTCCTGTCAACCTCATTTGTTCCCAAGACATGTGATAAAGTCCCTGCCTGGGCCCTTTCTGTTGTCCCTTGTGCCCTTACATAGTGCTCTTCCTTCCGATCCTGCTGACCACCCTGTCCATCGTCCTGTACATCACTTGTTTTCCATCCACTGAATATCTTTTTGAATCGCTTGTAAGTTGCCATTGTCTGTAAGCTTCGAGTCATTCTCATGCACCTCTACACAGCCTAGCTCTGCCTCCTTCATCGTATTTTGTCACTGTGCACCTGGCTGGGTCTACCTTGGCCTCTTGAAACTACTTAGAGGCTCCCGCATCATCTTCACCCTCTTAGCCATATTTTGAGTTCTTCTCTCACTCTACCTCGAACTGTACTCTGTCAGCTTTTGGAGTTAGCTCGTCTATAGCTCTACATCTTGTACTGTTAAATAACCTCACCATCACTCCCGTCTATTGACGACAAGACCCATCCTTCTCTAATTAGTACGCGATGCAACAAGATATGGAAGCCTTGAGTAACATCGAAAACCTGTTTAGCACTACGTCAACAACAGAGTTGAGCCCAGCTGTGTTCCAGTAGGCTATGCCCCTGTCAGTAGATGAGAGAGATGCTGTCATCGCGCCCGACTTTCTCCCATATACACTACTACAAGCAGATACTACTAGCTCCAGTTTCCGTTACCAAAATATCTTAGATACAGGGGAGGAGAATATTCTGATTCCTAATGACGAACTTTGGATATCATCCGCAATACCTTTGCCGGTAAATGACCAGCAACTCTTCGCCACTCTGGCGAGACACCCGACCCTCGTGCCTTTCCAACCCAAAGTGACAAAGACAAACTCGAGCTCGAATTTAAATGCAGTATCGACCCTGCCGAATTTGGAAAAAGGCAAACAAGTCTGTGCGGAAAGTACACAAGAGCCTGCTTCACAACGTCGCAAGCGAAAGCGACGATCTTTGGACATTCGACCATTGCCAGCAGCCAACCCGACCTACAAGAAGCTGCTTGTACAGGGAAGGCCCCCTGTGTATCCATCAACCCGAGATACGGGAGCTCGTAGCTGTGACTCTAAGAGCGACGACGCTGAATGCGGCCACAAAGGCGACGAGATAACAACGATAGCAGTACAACACATTCGTCGAAACTACGGAAGTACAATCAGCAAGGCTGAGAGAGCATTAGAATCCCAGAATAAAACGGACTTTGAAGACTTGGAGAGTTTAGTGGAAGAAATGGGTCGATCTGGTGTTCAGTGCTGCTCTCCGGAGACCACTCACGACTTCAGAATTCAATGGTGTGTATCACCCATCCTTGTTAGATAAAGAAGAATGCAAGTGACCCTGATCGATGCGATCTTAGTGATAAGTGCAAACAGATGCATTGCTATAGCTGCATGAAGATAACCTGGCCAAGTGCTTCAACCGGCGGTAGTGTTAAATGCAAGTTTTGCGCTAGTGCTTGAGCTCAAATCGGTCGGCGATCATCGAGTCTCACTTCTTAAGGGAGAGAAATGTAAGAAGCTAAGGACAAGATAAATAAAGCTAAAGCAAGAATGACAAAGTTCCATGTATTCCATGTTGTTGACGACATGGAGCGTAAATCGATGCTTCTCAAACGTCGAAACCCATTGGAAAAGTGATGGTCCGCAGTAGTAGAATTGCTTAGGATATTCTCAGATGAATTTTATCCCGAGTCAAACGTGGTTCTTTGTAACTTTTGCCAAGTTTTCGTAAATGAGAGTAGGTTATCAGGCATCAAATTTTTAGTGCATTCAAAGATATCACTCGAGACGACACCGAGTCGATGCCCCTAGTTTTCGTCTTGGAGGCTGAGTAAGTCAGCCACAAGCCGCACACTCACTTAGTTTTCGAGATTTTGAGATTTCCAGCTCAATCGACTCATATCACTAGCTGAGAACTTCCCCCCGCAACTAACAGAGTGCTAAAATGCCTTCACCAACCAACTGATTCCCAATCATTCGTTCCATTTAAGATGAACTAAGGTAAAATAGCCCGGTGCCCTATCTAGTGAGGTTCTTGAGGATTTCTTCGCAATTGTTGTCAAAGCGAATGCTGAATAACCTCACATTTTGCATAAACCTCTCGGTCTTGCCAAGCTCCCGGTCCCGACCAAACAGAGTCTCGACAAATTCGGCACCGGCATTCTTGCCAAGGCCGGGCTGCTTTCGCCTTGAAGCCTTGAGCATGGGAGCTTCACAGGCCTGTAGAAGTGATCGAAAGTTTTCGGTAAGGCGCTTACCGGCCTCGATGAAGTCCTCAACAAGATCACAGTCGTCAGAGCTGTGGACAAGACTGACGGCTTCCTCGGCTTGCTTTACCTTACCAGCGAGCTGGATGAGGAGAAGCCAAAGCTCACTGGCTATGTCAGAGATCGGAGTGGCAGGACCGTGGTGATAAACGGTCCAATCATAGATCCATTTCCCCAGACTGTTGGCGTCGAAAGCGCTGCCCAGGAGCAGGATGGGTGTCTCGCTAGGATCCCAGTTCTTGAGTGAGTACCCAGCAGGGATGCGGTGCTTACGGGCATCGGCACCCGTAGCCTCAGTAACAGTGAAAGAGGTCGGCTGCCTGCTACGATGACACGTGATGGATGGTGCGTTCTTGGTTTCGATCGGAGGGACACCAGTAGATCGTGGGAAGCTTCGAGTCAGGCTGCCAAAAGGTTGCCCGCGAGGCGACTCATGCATGCGTGGTATCTGCTCTCTGGTGCCATACCCATCGTTGCTTGTAGTTGAGGATGGGTGATGAAAGTTCTCGAAACGGGGCTGCGTGAGAAATCTGCGGGTGTATCCTGAAGTTTCGGTGATTGAATACTCGTAGGATGATTCATATGACTTAAAAGCCGTGATGTAGGTGAATGTTGTTAATTGTCCGTTGCTGTCGTAGCGAGGGGAGCCCGCAGGGGGCCGAGGGCATTGCGGGACGTATTTGTAGTCATGGCTAGTCATCTTTCTACCATTGGGCGACCCTGTGCTCATCGCGAAGCGCTTTTCTCCTGGCCTACGGACGGCCCGTTATTTAGTTTGGAGAAAGTCAGGAGGCAGGAGTATTGGCTTACTGGGGCATACTAATAGAGTTACGATGAACTCAACGAGAATGAGGTCGTCGTCATGAGGTGATAAACATGAGATAGGAAGGACCACGTTGTATTTAATTGCTCCTGTCACGAAAGTCATATAGGGGCTAGTTGAAGGCTGCCTTGGGGGATGAACGCGTTGACTGGAGTCCAGTCGTCGCGTCATCTCCACGAGCCAATTGTATACTTGACAAATCAAACCTTTCGTCGTATCAAGGTACGCTGACCCGTAAATCACTGGCAAAGACTTTGGCTGAGCCACTTGTAGTAATAAACGCGTTGACGTCTAGCAAGATCGCGTTCCTCTTAGTGTCGTGCCTTGTCGTGGGTACGCGAGGTAGTGGCATAAGTTTCTATGGCAATCGTTGCCTTTAGCAGCCCATCTGTTGCAGAATAGATGGCTCTGTGCCGCATCAACGCTGTATCGTAAGCCATTAATCTCCGTGAATAGCAAGCGACCCTTGATGTAGCCGCCTCCTTTACTTTCCATCCCAACGTTTGCATCACGTTATCAATGCGCGTCGATGTCTCAGCGCGACGCCAACTATGTTCATTTATTGGCTACGTTCATGATTTACATAAGGCTGTGAAACAAACACCGGGGAAACTCGTTATGCAAATGGCTGGCACTTCACCCATGCACAGTGCTACCTTGGAGCAACGCGTTGCCTTGTAACTTCACTCGAGCTTCGATCAATCCGGATGAAGCAGATTCCAGAGACCTTTCTTACCGCGTTGGCCATGTGCACGCCGTATACATCTTGATTAAAGGTTAGGTGATCGTGACTGTCAGTACCTCCATATCCAGGGGCATTTGGTGGATTGAGTCGTTCAATCCATTCCCATTCGGCTCAAAATAGAAAGTTAATAAGTTAGACCCTCCTTTCTCGTCTCTCTTCAGATCTCGGTTCGGAAAGATATCGCTATGAATTATCAGGGCATAGTCCTCCGATATCTAAGGCGTTGTTGGTCCTGAGGTGCCACCATTACATCCGGTAAAGATACTGTTAAAGAAGGCAAACTCTTCGAAATTCCTTCTCTGGAGACTGCTGTTAGAGAGCCGATAGCGTCCCCGCAATTTAGTATGGTTGCGTGGCCTGTGGAAAACCCTGCTCCTATCACGGCACTAACAGTACGTGCCTAGGAAGAATTTTTACAGGGGAGAGTTGGTGACACGGTAATCAGCTTTTTTGTCTAGGGTAGGTAATCGTTAGAACCGTATCTACGTTTTTCGTTCCAGCTTCCAAATGGACAAGCAAGGGTATGTCAATAACTTGTCTGGACGACACCTGCTCAATTGGTACGTCGCCAAGATGTGGAGGGCAGACATATTGATAGGAGAGCAGCCTTTACTTGACACATGATTGAATACAGAACAACAATAATTTAGAGGCGTTACTTCGCTGTTGATGACTTTGACTGCTAACAAGGATCGTCTTGCCCTTCACACGTTGTTGCAAACGACGGCCTGGTAGATAACGTACGCCCGTCAGGGATTCTGTAAATATCTATTCTTTCTCTATCATAAACATGTCAAAATCATTCCACTTTGACGTCAGGTATGCAACGGGAAGGTGTCTTGATATGCATTGGTATTCTCAAGGCGTAGCCGCTCGCTAACTTTGGTCTCAGTCGCTGGATGCCCTTGATGTACCCTGACGACCAGGACACCATGCCAAACGCAAAACAGCTTTATCGTCCGAGGAACCAGAAGCCACTAGTCGGAACTTCATTCAAGCAAAAGTTTGGCTTGACGGATGTCTGTCTATCCCAGGTTGGGTTAGCATGTTGGCTCGGATGCACAACCAACATCCATTCCTCCGTAAGAACAGTACCGGATGATTGAATGATCTTCGATGTGACAACTTAGCCACCTTTCAATTTCACTTGCTCAAACGAATCATGTCCCTCAACAGGGTACCTTACCAGGTTACCGCCCGCTCATACGTGCTTGATGAGAGTTTCGCAAGCATTACCGTTTCAGACGACATCGTCAACCAACATTCAAGTCGATAGCACCAATCAACTTTCTGCTCACTCAATCTTGAAAGGAATATCATGAGCCCTTCACAGTGGCCAGCCTGACGCGAAAGATTGGCGGACTCGCGCCGTAGCTGCTAGATTGATGCGATCAAAAGAGTCCGAATATAGAAGCCATTCGCTGGGACTACAAAGAAAAAGAAATTGCGTCAAGAAAAAGGCGGACTCTTGGCGGAAGGAAAACATTGATACCACAATAAAGGATTGTGCCTAAAATACTGATGGATAGGAGAGGTGTGATAGATGGTAGTCAAACACTCATCTCTCGAACTTCACCTGATATTAACACACCATCTTCCAAAAGGAAAATCTCATGGTATGAAACCCAGGTAAAGCAACAGTTACCGCTGGGATTGCCCAAGAAGACGAGATTGATAGGGCCTAGTTCGATGAAGAGGAGAGTGCTTCAAAGTGCGATGCTGAATGATATCAAGAGAATGTCATGAACTCTCATGATGCCAGGTAGAATGGTGAAGGGCATAAAAATGTCGAGGAAAATCGGAACCGAATCGGCAGGAGTCATCGACATTGTGTGAGCGCAGTGTTGGGACTTGGTCGTCACAGTGGTCAAAGTTGATGCCGCTGAAGCCGAGATTATTCACGTTGGGATCACAACCAACAGAAGGTTGCATCGACGTTGAGTCACTGAATCCTTCCAACATGGGTATCTGAAGTCGTTTTTTCAACACAGGGGTGCGGAATCCGACAAAAGAAGACAGGGGTACTCGAAACTGGGCATGGGAAATTTGATAGAGTAATTGAGTAGTGACTGCCCTACACGGACATCATAGAAGGGAAATTGTATAGTATATCCATCTGCACTGCAAGCTTTGAGATGCTATAGAGGATGTACAGTATCGAGCACTGACAGTTTCCTCATCTAGAACAACCTGAAAGATGTTGGCGCATCTCCACACAGTGTCTATCCGTGAACGGTATACATCAGCATCGACGCTTTTGGACATTCGGAGTAAGCTTCTGGCCGTAAGCCGAAGGCTAGCAGCCCCGAATGTGGGCTTGAATGGCTTGTGGGCGCTGGCGTACTAAAATGGCTTACGGTAGCTTGATCGGTAGTTCACAGTGTCGATTTAGGCACCACTCACCCCGGCGGTTGTTGGGCACTCGAGTTACTTTACGGTGCATCTTCTAGTAGGCCAAAAAAATGCTCCCCCGCTATCAAAAAGTCCTGTACTGCCGTTCAATCTGCTCACGATGTAGCTTGGTGTATTTCAAAGTATCCACTCTAGATTACACAAAGAGCTATGTGTACGCAATGACTTTGAGCTTATTGTTGCGGATTTTTTTTTTAATCGCGTAGTTCATTCGTCACTGACTCTCACTCAGACTGATACAGGAAATAGGGCGGAAGGAAATGAGTGGATCCTAAAGAGAGAGACTGGGGTGCAGAAAACCGCACACGGCAAGTCGAGATTGAACTGGCAAATATCGTGGAGGGTGAAGTGTGTATAACCTCCTACACCAGAGATCGAGCCGGGATACGCAAAACGTACCTCTTGCAGCCTCTTTATGTGTTGAGTTAAATACATACCGTAAAATAGTTCCAAGTCATTAGTATCCTGGTTCTTGAGCAAAACAGACTATGCCTTCTTTTGTTTCGTTCTTCGAAATGGCGACCGCGAGAAGACACAGCAACGTAGAACGATCAAGATGGCGCACAAAATGCCGCCAAGTATTGTGTAATCACATAAGTGAGAGGTGGATAGCTTGTGATTGAGTACGCGAGAAGCTGACTCGTCTTAGACTCGACGTTGGGAATCACGCTTGATCCTTCCCAAGTCAGATTGCACCCCTCTCGCGATGACCCTTATCGTTGGTCCGTGAGCCCAGGCAAAGAATACTTGTTTGAGAAAAATCTCAGCGACCAGTCTTTGGGAATATATAAAGAACTTCACGACGGGATCAACATATACTTCGAAGCCACCAAAGCGCCGTCGCGACGCCTGAGCGAGCCGTTGCACCAGGAAATGTCTGCCAAGACTTTTACGCCTGGGACTTCAGCAGATTTTGCTCATCGAGAGGCAGCCAACAAAACTACTGTAAGTTTCACGTCTCGCATCAATGAGCTGCAAGTACAGAGAGATTACGCCTCTCAAGAGGTCCATCTACTCAAGAGCCAACTTGAAGCAGAGGTGAAGCTCAGGCTCAGTCTGGAGGAAAAACTACAGATAGCGTATGAGCGACAGGAACAGCTGAGGCGGGAGCTGGAAAAATCAGTACGGCGGGAGGACCACTTCCGCAACACAGCAGTGGATTATTCGCAAGAGATAGCTAAGATTCTGCCGACCATTATGAGCTTGGCCGAAAAGACGAACTTCACACAGGCGGGCTTCATTTGAGAATATAATCTAGTTTCTATCAATCCCATGTATTACCTTAAAAAGGAAATGGTAGCTCCCATCTCATCATGTAGGATGGTGTCTTACATCGTGGACCCACTAAGAAGTACACCAATTCTCCAGTCACCATAGCGTATTTCCTGTCATTGACACGTGCCTTTGACCACGCTGCCACTATAAAGCCACCGCCTCGCACTTTATTACGCTCAGTAGTCTAGATGTGAAACACGTTTTCATGTAGAACATCCTCAGTCAATTGACAAGCGACATAGTATACAAACTAGACGAAATGAAACCAAACGACGCACCCGAAACGATCCAAAACCTGGCAATTGAGATGACATTGCTACAGGAAGAGGTTAAAAAACAGAATGCCCGACTGTCTGCGTCAACTTATTTGCTCCGAGAAATTGTCACGCTCATCCAGATGACCACGACGACGACAGAATTGTTCAAAGGCAGGCAGACGAACGCAGAGAGTGTCTGGGCTAGTTACTGGGGTATATTGAAGGAGTGTGATGAAGCCATCTTCGAGGTGGATTCAGTTCAGTCACGGAAGCCCTAGATAGTTGTAAGTTCTGGAAGCTCCAAAGAATGGGAAAGTATTGGGCTAACTATGTCTCTAGGCTTGGTTTAGTCTCCAAGTTGCGGAGCATCTCCAAAATCTCATCCATCATGTTCTTCATCTCGACATTTCTTGCCACCTGAGAGGCTTTCCATTTGAGGAGTTCCTCTATCCTGATTTCTGCGTCTTTCTTATGGGCCTCGAGAGCCATAATCCTGACAAGGAGTGAAAGCTCGTCAATATGGCGATGCTCGCATTGACGTCGTACGTTGGGAGGCTCTTTTCGCGGACCAAAATCGAAAGCGCCACTAGCCCTTGGATGCTGATAGCCAGGATCAAGATCATTATCCAGTCTGCAGTCTTGTCTCAAGGAGCCATACCCTGGGTAGGTATCGAACGTGGATGTAAGATCGCTGGAGGTAGCGACGTCAGGTGTTGTGAGTTTGCGGACGCCAGAATCGATCTGCCTATCCACGTCAGAGAATATTTGTTGTGGTTGACTCGAACTCATTTGTTCCAATGGGAGAAAATCGACATATTCCGTTTGGCTGCCGAGAGCATTTAAATCCTCCCCTCCGAGTTCACCAAAGTCAAATATTCCATCTGATGGAGGCTGTTCTGCGGTCGACGGCATACGCGGTGTGTTGACAGGGGCTGGATCCATGGACAACGAAGGGCTAGAAGATTGCGAGAAGAAGGAATCAAATCCATAAGTAAGAGATTTGCTACCGCTGGGATTCATGATACATAAGAGCGTTCTCAACTGGCGCGCAGCAAAAATGGATGGTGTTGGTTTGTGTTGGCTGGGGATCACCGAGCTTTTACCATCGTTGTCCTTTGTTCTAACATTTACCGACTTGGGGTCTGTTGGTCAGGCGCGGAGGACTACGTATCAGGTCGGCAGTTAGAAATTGGAGGTAGGTCGAATCACGAACCCCTGTCTGCTGTTTCCCGCACCCTTGCCGTTAATCGACATTTTCACATTTCTTACACGCCATTCGAGAACATGAAACACATTACTCGACACAGAATACTGTACTGTACCATCCCCCATCAGCGAGTAGTCCAAGCGCGGCCCTATCCTAAACGGCTTCGAGTCCACCATCTTGTCAGCGACAGACCAGGGGCTGCTTCTGTCACCCCGAGCCGTTCTTGACTAAAGATAACGAGGAAGGTCCAGACGAACGATCGCAACTTCAACTAACTATATAACATGGCAGGACGTACTGCTTGCTTCCTGTAATCATTTTCACCTTCAAACATCTAACGGCTTCCTATTCACCACAAATTTTTAACTGTTCTTCCAGCAATCACGATGGTATGTATGAAATTTTGCAACTCATCCATAGAAAACAGTATCCAGTTGACCCTCCCACAGAGCCACCAACAACAGCTGTCCGCTGTACCTGAGAACTCGGTTGTTACAACCTGGCAACAGCCGATTGTCACGCAACAACAACAACAGCAGCAGCAGCAAGCCTACTTCGTTTCACGATTGGCCGGGGAACTTCTAGTTTCTCGGACTGACAATATGAACCTACGCCACATAAGCCGGCAGTCACAGGAAGATGCCTTCTGCTGGCACCAAGAGTACGAGCGCCTTCTCGGTGAGTATTGGAAGGTTTCGGAACATAATGCTGCCCTTTTGGGTCAGGTTTCGAGACTGAAAGAGCAGCTCCGGTCAGCTAGGTCCAGGCAAGGTACCCAGAGAGCTCGTCGCGATAGTGGAAGCGCTGTTGTGTCGACTTTGAAAGTAGAAGGCGCCTCGGGCACCATGAGCAACGCGATTGTAGGCAGTGGAACGAGTGAGGGCATCAAACAAGAGGTCAATGCACACCTAGATGGTGAACGAAGTTAATCTCATGCGATGGTGTACACGGGACGTCAATTCCGAGAAAGCTTGTATAAGAGTTACATGCCACGTTCTTTTCATACTGTATGATAGTGATTAAGCTTATAAAGCGAAAAAAAAAACGGTTAGGTCGATTCTCACCTAGATTCTCGATCTTGCATGCTTACTGTAATCTGACATCCTTACCCCCACTGGCATGGGTTCAGACCAGGACCCCGACACGCGTGCTACCTCGCGCGGACTTCCATGGAGGGTACAAAAGCTGTACCCTCCAACTTTCCCAAAAAGTTCAGCGCACCTGACCTCGTGTAATTTTGTGACGTAGTACAAAAGTTGAGGGGGTGTGGACGTATGTACAACCTTTTGGCACTGCTCTCCTACGAAATGCAAGTGACAACGCGTTTGAGGTGCGCTTTTTGGCACCCACCATCTTTGGATGCTTCATATCCAAAGGGCAAAATAGCAGCAGATGTGTCTTAAGAACTATGGAGTTGACCTCATTCATACCTGGCTGCAACTTTGGCAAGCTAGAGCCTGAAGTCAACTTTGCTGCCTTACATCGTCTTGAGAACATTCCTACCATGTCCCATCCCAAAGTCACTAGGCGCAAAAGGCGCACAGAGACTTTGAAGAAAAAGATTGAAGAGTTCTCTAACATCTTCAACGTGAACATAGCTGTCATAATCCAGGACAGGTCCACAACGCAGCGACAAACCTTCAAATTCACGCATGATCCGGACTGGGTGGTTGTGAGTATATACGCACCAACTGTACGGCTTTGGCTGAACGACTCACTCAAGGCTCAAAACACCTATCCTTCTCCTGAGCACGCCATGATCTTATCAGAAGGCCAGGTATTCAAAGATAACGTAGAACGCTTGAAGCAGCGATTTGAGCGGCTAAACCTTGAATGTCCACCCTAAATCTGATTTCCAGCCTTCTTATCGATGGTGCTGCAAGTCCATAGTTCTATTTCCACATTCAGAGATATCTGTACGAAATACCAATGGTTTATGTACAAGGACATATACTAGATTGTGATCAATAAGCGAACCAGATCGTTTTGGGCACATATATCGAAATTGACATTCTATTTCCAATTTCCTGACTCTTCAAGACAAAAAGCAAACTCCGCAACGCTTTCTACGCTTTGAAGGACGGCTGCATGCTACTTCTCGCTTTCTTTTCTTATGTGTTCTTGTCCCAAAAACAGCAGTTGCCGAAGTGCTGGCGATGAGCTTTGAGAGATTATACGGTGAGCCGCTGAGTGGGAAGGCCTGCTTACTCCCCTCTTGCTGTAGTTCGATGGAAATAGAATGGCCAGCTATACAACTGACGGCTAATTGAATGTTACCATGCTCATCTATCTCCAGTACAGGGAGCACTGACTTTCCATTGACGTATACGGTTGACTTGCGCAGCCGCTTAGTGATCTCTGGCAACGCTCGATCCTGTCCCTTTCGAATACATAGTATTTGTCCACTTAACTCGAGGCTAGATCCCGAAGTCTGAGGCAAGGTATCTAGCTCGAAGTAGAAAAGAGTGGCAAACAGATGATGCGCGATATTGGGTATGACTCGGAGCATTGTGGCATCGGAACTTACCAAAGAAGTCAGTCGGGGCATCGATGCAATATCGTCAAGGGAGGGAAGTTGAGTGAGAGTGAGGTCCAGCCTATACCGACCACCGCCACCCCCCATCGAATTACTGGTATTTGCAGCATCATCCCAATTCTTCTTTCCCTGCATGAGTGACATGTATGCTCGCTTCAGTCGAATAAGCCAGCTGTCTTTGACGAACCTCGGCCGTTGATCTTTGAGCGTATCTTTCGGTAAAGTTCCAGTGCCTATATTCAACAAAATATCAGGCTGTGTATTTTCATTCATTGCAGCAAACTCGGCCAATGCAACGACGATAGGATTATTCGCCAAGACTCCAGCATCTTGGAACGTTCCCAGTCCAGCAAGATATTTGGCCGGGAAGTACCTGCAAAATAAAAGAACCGATTAATAGAGAGTTTGGATCATATAGAGGCGAGAGGACTTACAAGGGGGCAGCGGTGCCAATCCGTCCGCTTATAGGCATCAGCTCGCGTTCTCCCTACGTATCACAGGCGTCGACAACTTACATTTCCCAAGTTTTCACATTGTCAGCTTCCCTAAGCACCAGATGACCATTCCTCTCTCTACCAGTACCGTTGTAGTTGGTAAAAAGGCAGAGTGAGGGTCGGACTACTGTCGCAGTTAGCACACCAATTTTGGACCCTACTCTTTTGGCATAGGGGGTTTCGGTCAACACCCCATCACCAAACGCCGTTTTGAGGGGTGTCTCGATATTGCTCTCTGCATACATTGAGTCCAGCAGAATTGATCGAATCCAGTTCGCCCCTGGCAATGGTGGAAGCAGATTAGGACGGAAAGCCATTCTCGCAAGCTGCTCAAATTCAATAGCGCAACGTTCGACGGACCAGCCGTCAGCGAACATAGCAAGTACGATCAGTGCACCTATTATGATAAGTCAAAGATATCTGAGAGGACGGGAATACGAGAGTAGGTAAAACACGAGGAACCGTAAAAAACTTACCAGCACTGACACCGTACGCCATCGTAAAGAACTCCTGTACCGGTATGGGGAGATCAAGTTGCTCTTGGATCTTGTTCAAGATAGCTGGAGGAATGATACCCCGTACACCTCCTCCATCAATGCAGATAATGGACTGACCAGCTGTAGGCGGCCGAATACGCACGACCAAGTTCACAGGTTGTCCATCGAGCAAGCAATGAGGCAGGGTGAAGAGAAATGGGTCAGCTGCATTGGATGTTCCAAAGACCTGCAGACAGTTCTCACATACCCAGTGACCACACCATAGCTTGTGCTGTGGAACTTGTACTAGGCAGGATAAACAAATATTCTTGATCTTCACGTCTGGCCAGCGTTCTACGTGGATGGCTAGGGTCGATCGATGCACTGATACTGCTCTTTCACCTTCCTTGAGACGGCCGAATAGGCCGATCAAATTGCTTGAGATCGAGCTGAGGAGACTGCTTGGAAGTAGAAAGCCATCATTACGGTCTTTCATGGCTGTCTGATTGCAAGCGCGTGTACAGGCATCCCGATACAAACGATTGAAAACATCCTTGGGGTTGAACACTACATTTATTAGCATAACATAAGAACTGACTCTTTTGGTCTAAAACTCACGGTGCATATCGGGCATGTACTGATCGAGCAGCAAGCTTGAAGCAATGATAGGCGACGCAAATGAGAGGAGGTCCTTTGCCAGGTGTACCTGATCAGTAAAATGAACGAGATTGTCCGCCAACTGGGTCGAGACTGGGAAATCTCGCCGAGAAGAGAGAACGGGATCAAAAAGTTGTTCGTGCAAAATCGATGCTGACTCGAATGCCCTGTCGAAAAGCGTGTCAAAGTGCTCCACGGAGAACAATAAGCCCGCGTCTTGACGTCTTTGGCGAGCGGAAGAAATGTGCCGGTGCAGATAAGTGTGATTTGTAGAAGATAAGCTTCCGCCAGGACTTCGAACGAAAGCTGCTTCAAAAAAGTAAGAATCCAATGCTCTGGAGGCAATAGTCTTCACCGTTGATGCGCATACCCGTTCCGCGATAGTTGCAGCATCTGACTGCTGCTCATGCCTTCCGTCAAGGATAACTAAGAGGGAGGGCTTCCAAATCGTATGTTCCTGTGATGGCCAGGTAGCGATCCAGCGCGAGATCTTTGTTAGGTCTGATAGACCATACGAATACAAACAGAAAACATCGACAAAGGGATATAGTAGACGAGAGTACACGAACGTTTGTGCATCAATATCGGAGATGTTGCTTCTCAGCAAGGTCTCTTTCTTTGACGGGCAACATCGAAACCTCTTCGTTGAGCCAGGTGAGGGCAGAGCTGCACTGGCGAGTAGTAGGGGTTCACAATCTGCAGTTCCTGAGCTTAGGTCTAGACAGAGCGACCCGGGATTGCGCTTTGGCTTCGTGATCAAGTCCATCGGCTGACGACTACCGATCAGGATATTCATGCTCGGACACGGAGCCTGCGAATCAAGTGCAGACGTAATTTGTTTCAATCTTCCAGACTGGCGAATCGATGGATTCTTTCCACCAGATACCCAAAGCCAGTGGCTACAGGTCGGATCAGCCATGTTGTTGATGTGTGGGATTTCAACGAAGGATATCGATAGCCACCAGTGTAAATACTTCAGCCGCAGTTCAAGCCTATTAAGTTAATCTAGGGCCCGGTTCTGTTCTGGATATTGCGGTTTTCGTACCCCTGGACACAACACAGGGGCACGAAACCAGCACCTTGTATCATGCTAGCTACTTTTACTACATAAAAGGACTGCGGACCCAGAACAATTTTCGAATACTCTACACAAGTGCCGCAAAAATGGATCCTCATATTAAACAACACCTATACATCTGTGATATTTGCCGTCGCCCACGCTCAAAGGAGTTTCATCGTCGTTACCCTGCTGGTCAGGATTACCCACGAACGCACTCTGTTTGTCGTAGGTGCCGCCAAACGAACCATCGCTTCAAAAACAGCACATACAAACAACCAGTCCCACCAAAAAAGCATTACCGGGAACTTATGCAACGTACTGTACGAGCCATGAATGATTTGTACCAGGCAGGAAAGGTCTTCTATCAGGGTCTTTGCAGCCGCAATGGCCTCTACATTCAGGTTCATCATCATCACTGGCATCACAATACTTTGTCGGAGGACGACTTGACTAAAGCTTACGGCAAGTTTGCGGAACGACCCCGAAGCCCATCATTCCAGGAAAAGCCTGTCACTATCAGACAAAAGAAGCAACCCGCTTCAGATAATCAAGTTGCGCACGTGGCTGAGCTTACCGATGGCCCAACACCAGCTCCCTATGAGCTACCGGCGTATCAGTCATACGCTGATGCTCCACCGGCGGTGTCACAGAAACCGGTGTTTCGTTTTCAGGTTTCAGAAGACGTTAGTTAGATACGGGTTTGGCAATGCTTCTAAATGTTGGTATCAGGCGAACGGATGGTTATGATTGTTACTAGACTCTTGTCTTGCTGTCGAACAAGAAAAAGAAAAAAAAGCGAAAAAAAGAAGAAGGATTACTTTGAAAATAGAATAAATGAATTTTTTGAAATTATTACTCCAAGGCAAAGCCACATAACTAACGAACCCGAATGTGAAGTCGCAATAAGGATCTGCCAAAAGCTAAAGGCGCCCAAACATCTACCGGAAAGCCTGCTCCGGTAACTTGGCCACGTGTGCAGACGCTACTTTCGCTTCAAGAGTCTTAGGAACCAAAACTGATAAACAAGTACCATTGAGCCCATGCATACAGCACAGAAACCCGCAATGCTTATGGTCACTATAGCGGTCGCAGACCAATTTCCGTCTTGAGCTGTGTAGACATTTGTTAAGCTAGCTACCAAAGCCGTCAGCGCATTAAGCAGTCCAGGGCTCTGATATGTTAGTAACTATTCATCGAGGCTCGGGAGTATACTGACAGGAAGATGCGATAGACGAGCCAAAACCAATTATGCTTGACATTCCACCATGCCCACACGATGCCTAGAATGCCAATGAGGCAAGAAAAGCTTCCAACGTACACTAGAGGGACATTGCGGACGGCGCGCTGTATGATTTGACCAGCTTGATTGCGATTCAGAACTCCACTGCGGCTGACAGACGTAAAAGTCCCAGGAAACACAACGAACCCGGCAAGAAGAAGCCAGTTAGAAAGGGAAGCGAGGAAGTTCCACCGAAGTGGCACCTGGTGCGATTCTATGACCATCCTATCATAGGATGAGCAGGAATCAGCCGGTAGCGGGATTTGAGCAGCCCTGGAAGATAAATCTTCAGGCTCCTCGTAATGATTCGCTTGGGCTTTCATTCTTGTTTAGATGTGTTTCCTGGTTGTGTGCTTTGTAAATTGATCCTACCGATGGCGAGTAAGAGTCCACCTTTTATATGATTCATGAAGCGCGTCTGATTTCAGCACCCCTCTACTCTAGTGATAAACAAGGCATCACTTGACGTGTACCTAGGGAGGCGGGGGTGCTGGTTTCGTACCCTCATCGACTCTTATTAAAGATCTTCTCCGATCATTTGTTACTGTTTCTATCTACTGGCGCCGGAATTGCCAACATGGATCCAACCGACATCTACGGCATTTGCATGGGAAGCGCAATTATCCTTCTTGCACTTTTTTCAATTTTTCAGCCATTATTACGCTCGTTGATTGAATACCTTCGCCGCTTCCTTCTCCGCCAAATCAATCTTTCTTTCCTTCCACGGTGGCTTGGAAGGGATCTCAAGCTTTCAAGATACTGCGGCTTAAATGTCATCCTCTACATCAATGCCAACATATGCCTGCTTACGATTAACGTGGCAGATCAGTCTGACTTCATACGTAGGCTTGGAAGGGCGGCAATGATCAACCTCATTCCTCTTTGCATAAGTGGACGCGTCAATCCACTCGCAAATATACTTTCGATCCGAGTTGAAAGTTACCTTCTCACCCACAAATGCATCGGGACCGTTTTCATCATCGAGGCATCACTACATTCCATTTTGTCCTGGACCCACGGCACGGCCAACATTATGAAAGGGCAGGACAAAGCGGGGCTAATTGTTAGTAAATCATTGGATTTACCCCTCACGCCCCAGACTTGGAGATAGTCAACACACAACCAATGCTGACAAGCCTTAGGCTGTAAGCTCAATGGCAGCCATTACGTTGACCTCCATCCCGATCATCTGGCGATGGAAGTATGAATTTCTAGCCACTCTGCATCTCGCGCTCGCAGCAACAGGGGTTGCAAGCCTTTGGTTTCATCTAACACCAGCCGGTGTCTTGGAGACGCCCGGACTCTATCTTATCTTGACGATAACAGCTTTTGCATCCGTAAAATTGATCAGATTATTCAAGATGCTACTCACGAATATCTCTACTGATTCTATCAGCACTGCAAATATTCATCAGATCGGACACGGCGTGGAAATCCAGGTAAGTATGCCCCGTCCTCTCAAGTACCGTGCTGGCCAGTTTGTGTTCTTGAGCATTCCACGGCTTGCTGCGTTCCAATTACATCCCTTCCAGATTGCTTGGGAGTATTTGGGTGAAGGTGGATGTCAGGTCATAGTTTTCATTATTCAGCCGCGTCACGGTTTTACGAGCCGGCTTCGTCTGGCGGCTCCGATGAGAGATTATGCGGCCTTAGTAGAAGGCCCCTATGGAAGATCAATCACAACAGAACAGTACGGAACGGTTTTGCTCTTCGCCACAGGTATTGGTATAGCAGGACAATTACCCTACATGAAGGAGCAACTTCACCTTTACCGAGAGTGGCGAACGCAAACCCGACGACACGTTTTATTTTGGGAAATGGAGGCTGAAGGTTTGGCTCAACTTCAGTCTTGTTTTTATATTTTTTAACCCATCATAAGAATACAGGTATTGGGTAAACGAGTGGATCAATGAGATCTTTTCATGGAATATCGCTTACGTAAGCACTACATCCGCGGCCCTTTCAATGTTTTGGGAAGCTAAAGGCATGGTAGGAAATCCACCTTTACATTCGAGGTCATTTCCTCACCGAAAACGCTGAAGCAGGTGTGTCTGTGAAGAAAGGAGAAAAACTTCTCAGACTCACCTTGAACTATTTGCCCATGGAGCCGGAAAATCTCATTCGATCTGAGATCCAGAAAAGAGGAGATCTAGGTCGTATGTTAGTGTCCTGTGAGTCAATTTTCAAGTCGTATAGGGACAAGGCTGACACGTACAGTATGTACCGACTCTTCGACGTCTCGGGTGGTATCTAAAGCTATCGCCCCTATTCTTGGAAAGGATGTCGACCTAGTGGAACTTGACTTCTGCCCATGGTAGTGGTCTCCACATCACAATTAGGGTACGAGAAAGAGTGGGCCCCTGTTGTACGATGCTAGAAATGGATCCAGTTTGCCTGTATGTATAGCTCTGGTAGCTATCGATGCATCTTATGTAGAACTCCAATGCACTTTTCTTTATACAACTCACTAATCCCAATAAGTCGATTTTTTTACCTTCAACTTGCTGCAATCCTTCGTGAGGAGCAATAAAAACCATTCATAGCTGGTCGATGTGGCACCTCTAAGCACACAATACCACATACAGGCGCTCGACTTTCCGCATTCTTTCCAACAAAAGTTGCCCCTAGTGGGTTAGCAGAGCGTTTCAAGTTATCGCAATAGTTCTGGACAATCTTGCAAGGATGCGTTTTGGTCGTATGCGCAGATTGCCTGAAGAGTTCTTGTGCAACGTGACCGGCACGATTAATCGAGCTACAGGAGTGGATTCTTAGTCACACGCGCTTCTTTTCGAACCTATAGCCTACGTTGCTCCAAGCTATAGGGCCGGGGGTCGGTTTCGGAAGTCGTCGTTAGGCTGACAGGGGGTCCTATTTCGGTTTCTGCTAGGGGTATATATTTCGGACTATACTAGGGTACATGTCTCGAGCTACGATGGGTGCCTGTTTTGACCCCTGTCGTGTTGCCTGTTATATTTTTTTGCAGCTGACTTGTTATGGAACATACGAGAATTAGGGCGGCGTACAGTATTGTAGTACTGTGCTATAGCGCAGTATTGGGTAAACTTTGCTTAGCCGTGCATCATTTTACTTTGCTGTAGTATTTATTAGCTGTTTTTAATCCTCAAATACCCCTTACTATAATAAACTTACTATCTACACTGAGGATTTTCTATAGTCAAGGCTTCGAAAAGGAGGGTCACGCGAACGTTACTTAGGTAGGTTACATCTGACAATAGACCAGGGATTGGTTTTGTATCGGGAACGGTTGGAGAAGCAGACAGGTCAGAGGATGCCAGGACAACAACGGATTCATGCAGCCAATTAACTTTCTATCTCAAAACGTCACCTCCGCTAGCTGTGATGTATTTAAGATCGCTTCCGCTGCAAGGCTCTTCCAACTCCACAAACCATCATGTTCCTTCTTCCCATGCTTCTCACCTTTCCGTTCTTCACGGCGGCGCACGAAGGGATTTTTCAGAGGGGAGCAGTCAATTTTACCATTGAGGCTGGCACCTTAGTCGGCACAGGTTTGATCGAGTTTGCTTCAGACGGCAGCTCTCAAACTACTCAAGACACTGAAGCGTTGGTCACTGAGACTCTTAAGTATGGTAAAGGTCTGTGCGGACCAACGACAACATGTGAAGCCAGTACCTCCGCAGTATTTCTCACAAGAGAAGTCCCACTGCTTCCCGCACCAACCTTGCCGTCTCGTATACTCTCTGTCAACCATACTAGGGCTGTTCTACCATCAAACATCTCACTCGAAGGGACACCTATTTCATTACCCACTAGTCCCACGATCTCCGAGGCTACGTTTTCGCGCCATATGGCTTGTATCTGGCTCTTGGGTTTCATGGCAGCGGGTTCGTTTGTCTTTGTTATCTGAGCGGGGAGGAAGGCTGTTATCAGAGGTACTTCTTTCGTTCTCTTTTGTGTTTTTTAGATAGTTAGATCGACAATAAACCTTTGGTCATGTTTGAGCGTTCAAGCTGGCTCTCGAGACCACTGTCATGTCTTGGTGATACCGAATGCTATGGGGCGACTACTATGGCATAGTTTCTTCGTTAATGACAAAATGACCACTTGAGAGAGATGAGTGAAAAGCGATTCCTTGCTTTATCTTTAGATATGGGCTGGTCTGCTTACTCGTGATTAGTCTTGTAACTCGGAAGCGTTTTTAAAGACATGCTGCTAGCAATCTACCAACCTAAAGAAGTGTTAGTTAAGAGAATACCCTTGCTCGAGGTCAATTCTTGAACCTGTTTGGTAGGGGTATCTGGTTTCCGCACCCTTACATCACGCCGTTTGTGTATTTAGGCTAGATGGCTCGTGAGACGGTGCATTGTAGGACCTGTGTTGTCATGCTTGTATTAGAGAGATTTGAGTAGCTAGTGTAGTGCAATATGGCTCCTGAGGTAAAACACCATCTCCTACTCTTTGTTTGCGATGTAGACTAACGAGCCATAGACACTTTCTCGTAGTTCGCAGTCGTCTACTGGTATAGTATACAGAAGCGATGTTCACGAAGCGTGTGTTTCGAATGCATACAAGCTTCTCAAGAACAGATTCAATGACATACTCCGCAAAAACGATTCGCTTGAGAAGAGCCAGAAGCTGCTACAACGACGAACCGATCACGCATCACGAGACAACCGCAGACTTCGTCGAGAACTGAATCGTCAGCAAAACGACTGCAAGCTACTGACAAAAGAGATCAAAAGTATCTCGGCAGAAAAATCGCAGTTATATGCACAACTTGAGGAAGAAAAATTTCAAAAGCAGCTTGGCGATGTTTTTCTTCAACAGTGTCTTGATGAAATTGGAGAACGACAACAAGAAATAAGGGAAGAGAGATCAAAGAGACAGGTGAATGACTTGATGGTTGATCGGTGTCGCGACAAGATCGAAAAGCAGAAGCTGGAGTTGGAAGAGAAGGAAAACCACCTCAGGACATGCAAAGAAGCAGTGGTTGTAGCTTACAGTGAGATTTCTATGGTCAAAGCCCAAAATCGTTATCTGGAGCAGCGGCTGATTGTTGGTGAGGACAACATCTCTGAACTAAATTGGCAACTAGAAAGGAAAAACGGAGAAACAGCAAGGCTGAACATAATTGTGGCGAAGTTAGAGAAAGAAAGAAGTGAGGCTATGGACGGGTGCTATTACCTTCAGGGTCAAATTGGAAAGCTCAAGACTACTACAGTAAATTAGAGGCCCTCTTTCAGATACATTTTTCTCATAGAGAGTTTCTAGCACTGTTGTAAGGAAGTTTGACGTCCCTGTAAATTGCTTGGGCTAGTATTTGCGTGTCCGGCTTCATGCAAGAGTCAATTATTGAATAAGTGCTGTGAGTATTACGTGCCAGTAGGGATGCTTAAGATCAAGCACCAAAATGGCGCCAGCTTCGGGCGGCAGAATTTTGACAGGACAACATGAATACATCAGTTTACACAAAGGAATCAAATACAGTAAACGCATTATGATGTATGGCATCAATCTATAGAACGTATACAGTATTTACACGTTTGGAGATTCTACACATATACATTCGTGCGTATTCGTCTCGAGACTACATAACTTGGTATGACATTTTCAGGGAAATAAAAAGGATATGTTTTCTGGAGTTGATTCGAGACCCCCTCATAGTCTGACCCTGACTCTGAGACAGGGGGGCTGATAATAGATCCTGGGTTCGGTCACTTTAGTACGTACCACGAGTATAATTGTCAAGGATGTTAGGTGACAGCCAGGCAGGGATTACAAAGTCGTCATCCACAGGTAGGGAGTCGACAGCATTTCCGAGCCCCAGCTTGATGTTAGGTCTTGCCAATACTGTGGAAGTGGGGGGAGAGGGACGTTTTTGTAACCTGAAGCAACACTATGTTCTCGCAAAAGTGGTACAAATAGCACCTCGACGTTGGGTAGTGTAGGTGCGAAGTCTGTACATTTTATTCGCTTGTACCGCCATGCAATGGCTGATTAAAGAGTTCGAGGTTACATTACTGTAACTTGATATAGTTGCTGTTCTAATATAAAAACAAATGCATCTTCGTCCCTTCCGTCTCAAATCTTGAGCTCTGCAAGTCCCCGTCCCAGCTTACCGAACGCATCCTGTCATCTCGCATAAGAAAACCGAATCTTGAGTCACTCGTTTCGTCTCAAAGCCACCAATACCATGTATTTTCTCATCTTCCTAAGCCTCGCTACCGCTGCCATTGCCACAGTAGCTGATTCGCGGTTCATTCTCTACTATGATCAGTTAGTACTTACCATACCTGCCTTGATTATTCCTGACAACCTTCTCGTAGATGGCATACCAAGAAACTCCCTACCAAGTCCCTCACGGCTGGAGTAACGCATGTCATGATGTCCTTTGCCAACTCGTCGCTGTTTGTGTCTCAGCCTCAAGGAGAGTACAGGCCTTTCCAACCGGTCGAAGATGTTCGAGCTCTCTTTGACAGTAACGTTCAAGTTTGTATGGCCATTGGTGGGTGGGGCGATACCATTGGCTTCAGCGAGGCTGCCAAGTCCGACAAGACCCGCAAGAACTTTGCCAAGAACATTGCTTCCACTGTTGACATGCTGGGCTTTGATTGTGTTGGTATGTCAAATAAGGTCAACCTGTGTTCAGACTGACACATGTAGATATTGATTGGGAATACCCTGGCGGTAACGGCGATGACTACAAGTCCATTCCAAATAAGAAGAAGGAATACGAGATCCAATCTTTCCCGCGCCTTCTCGGAGAAGTAAAAAAGGCCATCGGAGATAAAGAACTTTCTATCGCGGTCCCGGGCCACAGCCGTGATATGATTGCGTACACCTCGAATCAAGTTCCTGAGATTAACCGTGCTGTCGACTTTGTCAACGTAGGTCCAACCAAAATGCATATCATAAGAATCAAACGAAAGGAAAAGTTACTGACACTATGAGGTCATGACATACGATCTCATGAACCGCCGAGACCATTATACTACACACCACACCTCGCTTCTGGGCACCTTTCATGCCATTGATCYATATATATCCCTCGGCTTTCCAGCTTCTAAGCTGGTCTTCGGTATTCCGTTTTATGCCAAGTGGTTCACCACCAAGAGCGGATATGTTTGCGACCAACCCATCGGGTGCCCTACTGAGCTTCTTGAGCACCAGGAAGACGGCAGTGATACGGGAAAGTCTGGCTCCATGACCTTCGAGGCAGCCAATTTCGCAGTTCCTCTTGAGACCCTAACTCTTTCACCAAATGCCACTTGCGGCGCCGGTACACCGTTCAAATGTGGTGACGGCCTCTGCTGCGGTCAAACTGGTTGGTGGTGGG